ATCTTTCCAGTTGGTATTGGTAAATAAATTGTATACATAAAAAAAAAATCAAGTAGTATTTACCTATTGTCTATTTCATTTATTCTTTTAAAGCATTTGATCCACCTCCATTGAGTATTTTACATCAGTGTTACTATCTGAATTTAGGTTATTGAGTGCAGAATTGAGATATTTAGCCAAATTTTTCAGTTTCTTCATTGATACTATTGATGATAGGTCTATGTGGAGCGCCACTTTTATGTATTCTAGGTGTATTGTTGTTAGGATTAATTAGTTTAATAAGAAATGTTCAAAGTTAATACCAAAGTTCTATTCCATAAAATATAGACATCAAAATAAGGTCAATCTAAAAATGTCCTAAATGATTTATAATTTAGTTATTTAAATTATTAATATTTACTAGTTTATGTTGTATCCAATGACTGTATAATACTGTGGAAATCTCCAGTTGGAAGGTTCTGTAATGTTATATTATTATATATTTTCCATTGTGCCTAAGAATATCTGTTATTATTTATATTATTTCTCTTTGTATTTTTTATATATTGTTGATAATTTTGTCAAAATAAAATGTCAATGTTGTAATAATATTAGTATTTGTACTATATATTAGCATAAACTCGTTATCATTTTGGACACCATCTTTGTCTCTCTCCTACTCTCTAATACGGTGTGGGGTCAAGATACAATTTTGAATAATAACTCATTAGAAAGAAGACAAAATGCTGAATATTTCCCTCTCTTACGGTATGCAGATCCCATTTTTAGTATCTGAAATATTTTTATCCAAATATTCCACTAACCTCGTTATCATTTGGTTTTCGACAATACTTTTTCCTTTTCGCCTCCTTAACACGGCTTCGCGTTAAGATACAATTTTGAATTATAGCTTATTACAGTGAGGATGAAATGCTGAACAATTTCCTCGCACACAGTATGCAGGCCCGATTTTTAGTTTCCGAAATATTTTAAACCATATGGAAAAACATTTCAATTAGTCTACTATAGCCAACTTTACCCGAGCATTAAAAACTGACGGATCAATCTCATTCACTTTCCACAAAAAAAGTACAAAACGCGCCTAAAGAAGTTTTCACTTTAAAAAGTAAAATTTAAAACAAAACAACCTCTCAACATGGGTTTAGAAAACTCAATCTCTTATCGAGCAAATATCTAATCTTAAAAACGAATTTTAGGCTGTATAATAATGTTAGGGAACTTATAAAAAGACAGAATATGTCTTCGTTTTCACTTTCTACTCAAACTTTAATCAACTATTAAACATAAGCAAATAACTGTAATAAGTGCAATTCAGCAAATAAAATAAAATTTTATTAACAGGTGCATGTGGACACAACTGGAATCTCTTCTAATTTTCACTTATTAGTCTTATCTTAATAAAATAGTAAATCATAGACCTGCGGTCGGTTGCGTTCGCAAGATTTACTATTTTTTTTTTTATTCAGTTTAGTTGTTTTCAATAGAGATAATGGCTTATTAAAAATATATATATTTTATCACATCGTGTGATATAGCTGGTCAGGATTGTAAAGAAGAATCGCACCAAAAAAATCACACATTATATAGCGATCGGATTTGAAAGGATCTAGAATCCTTTTGTAAAAATCAAAATATCTCCGATGTGCGATGTGAACGACAAGTGTAACTCAAGGTAAATACTAACAGAATATACTTATTTATTTTACTGTCTTGCCTTTGGTTACAAGGGTTTTGCAAGGATCACACAATTTGGTATATGCCATCCCTGCTACTAAACATATAAGAATTTTAAATCACAAAAACATTCTTCACTTCTTCGAGTCTTCGGGGTAGAAAATAGTTCTGTCATTTTGGTTATCTTCCTGGAGTTGGTCCTCTTCTACTCAGATTAAAGTGTGCCGGACCTTTCCACTCCGGAACTTTCCACCTGTACACAAAATCTTTGTAATACGGGAAGTTCTGCTCCGTCACTATTCGAGGAAATTCATTTTTCTAAGGGTATAGATTCCAGTTTTCCGCATAGTTCTGGCTCCTAGGCCATTGAAAGCGTTGCCGTTGACTATAACGGATTCAGCCTTCTCCAGTACTCTGCATCTGGGGCTTTCTTATATTTCTTACATCTTTCCCAATGTTATGCAACTTAGCGCGAAATATTCTATGCCCTCTAAAGAATTAAGATACCCTGTAGTCCGGGAGAACCCATTTCGCTTCCTAGAAGCTCTGGATGGCGAGGAAATATTTCCTTAAGGTACCCACCGCCGATTTCATTCATCTATGTTATCCTCCCCGGTGATCTTAATCCATTTCCTTGGGTCTTCAGCAATTCTTACACGGATATAATCTTTTGAACGTCATTGTCAATGAGTATTCTGCAGGATGAGATCGAAAGTACCCCTCATACAACTAAGACTTGCACCGCCTCATGAAATACACTTCGGTATGACTTGGTGACGCGCAAAAGAGCCGTACGTTGCATAGTTGCCAACCAGCGTTTCAGCCGGTATGAGAAGTGTGAGAGTGCACTCAGGGGTGGGATACCTCAGAATACTCAATATCAATCCATCATAAATTGCCTTCGTATTTGGAAATCGGTTGCGGTCCCTAAATGCACCCCTGAGGCGACTAAGCCCGTTCAAGGGCCATTCTATTTCCTAAGTAGTCCAAATGAGGGGTCATATTAAATCCTCTTTCAAACCTTATCCCCTGGTAAGTGGCCACTTCACTTGGATGTATTATCGTTCCCTGTATAAAGAGATTGATAGGCTGTGCCCTACCCGACATTCCTCTCACCAGGATCGCCAGAGCCTTTGATGCTGTCATTCGTGACTTTATCCCCTCAAACCATTGTCTAACCAGGTTGTGTCTAACACTATTATGCTTTCTTCTTTATTCTGTTTCTGCCATTATAGACTAATACGGCCACCAAATCATCGACGTAGGCCATCGTACGAAACCGCTCCTCTTTGAACACAACCAGCAACTCATCAAATACTAGCTACCATAGAGCCGGACTAAGGATTGATCCTTGAGGGCATCCTTTCAGTATCATAGCTTCAGTTTTATAAGATCTACATCTGACCTGTCCTGGAGATAGCTACTTACGACGGCGTATGTGTTGTTGAGGGCATCATATTTGTGCAGCTACTGCAAAATCCGTAAACCCCAGACGCTATCAAAGACGGAGGATGTGTCAAAAAGCAGCAACATGAAATACCACTCTATCTTATGTTCTGCCGCTGCTCGCAATTAAAGCAGTTTACAGCGGTTCCATTACCATTTGTTGAACCGTATTACCGGCCGTTGTTGGATAGCTGGCCGTTGTTAGAACTATCCTTAGCTTGGTTAAAAAGAGATTCTCCAGAATATTGCTTATTAGAGAGAGAAGACATATAGGTCTATATGACATTGGGAGCTACTTATCCCTACATCCTCCCTTTTAGAGGAGTCTCAGATCGATGATCTCTCTCACATTTTCGGAAACTATTCCCTGTCTAACTAATCGTTAAAAATCTTCAATATAGAGGATATTATTGTTCAAGATCGCCACATCTATTGAATCATGTCCTGGAGCACGACCTGTTCTCTGTTTATCCACAGCAATACGTAAATCATGTACCTCCCATGGTGAGCAGTCCGTGCTAGAAGGGCCTACCGTCAAGCGTCTCACAAATTACAAATTTGTTCAAATCAAATGCGCTTGATGCTAGACAATTTTGTTGTTCCCCACAGTTCTAGTCCTTCAGTCCAAAGATGTTTCAATATTGTCTTGTAGACCAGTAGCTTGTTTTCAAGCTTGTTGGAATAGTCGGTATAGTTGGCCGTATCGTCGGTTTAGTTCCTGTCATTTAAGTCTAGTATGAGGGTTCCAGGTTAGTCGTCGGTCTAATAGAAAGCCAAGGTACAGGGATGTATCTGAGAAAGGAAGCTGGATGGTGTTAAAATAAACTGGTGGACAGGATTTACGACAAAGGATGAAGATTATGTGTTTACTTTTGGATTCGTTTATCTTAATGTGCCATTTCTTACACCAGTGTTCAATCAGGGAGAGGTGCATTTGTAGGTTTAATGACGCTATTTTAGGGTCTGAGTTGGTTGAAGGATAGCAGTATCATCAGCAAATGTTGCCAGGAGAGTATCAGGATGGGTTGGAATATCTGCGGTGAAAAGAATGTAAAGGATGGGACTCAAGACGCTGCTCTGCGGAACTCCCGCCTCAATTAAATGACAGTCAACTTGAAAGGAGCAGCCAGAGAGGTAGGAACGGAGTATTAGATATAACGACTGTGTTAGATGGAATTTAAGCTTGAAGAGCAGTCCAGCGTGCCATACCCGGTCAAAAGCCTGTGCTATGTCCAGAAATGCTCTCGAACAGTATTGCTTCTTTTCTAGGGCTGAGGATATATGGTCGACAACTTAGAGTCCTTGTTGGACAGCGGAATGTTGGGAACGAAATCCGATTGATTGGTAGGAATTTTATGTGATTCTCTTTTGGTTAGGATTCTTTTCAGTAGGATCTTTTCAAATTTTTTTGATAGGATGGAGAGTAGACTAATTGGTCTATAGGATGATGTCCTTTTGGCTGGTTTGGCTGGTTTTATGAAAAGGACGATGGTGGAATGTTTCCATAGGAGAGGAAAGTTCTTAAGATGCAATTATAAATATATGTAAGGAAAATATTAGCTTTGGATGGAAGTTGTCGAAGGACCTGTGGAGTTAGGAGGTGGTATCCAGGAGATTTACGGAGAGGAAGTTTTCGTAAGTGATGTTTGACCTTAGATGGATTAACTGCTTTAGGTGGTAAGGAGAGTGGAATCAGTGAAGAGAGGTATTCTTCTACTTTGACGGTATGGGTTGGATGGGATTCTGGATGAGGAGTTAATGTACTGGAGAGGTGTCTGGTATAGATTACTTACACCTAATTTTGTTGAAAATGCTCTTTTTAAAATATACTATTAACTTAAATATAAGACTATCAGGAAATGAATTAAATTTACAAATCTATTTAACAGTGTATTTCCTAAAAACTATTATGTACAAAAATTAACAAAACAACAAATTATTTACAATTTATGGACAACTTATAAACTTTTTTTCATTTAATTTAGTAATGATGATCGTGACGATGATGTCCATGATTAATTTTCTTCGTATGGTAGACATATCTGACCTTATATACTGGGTATGGCACTGGGTATGGTTTGGAGTAAGGGACAGGAATCTTCTTTACCACTTTGACGGGGACTGGCTTCTCAACAGGGTAGTGCGTCACCTTCTCAACTGGAACATTCACAGTTTTCTCAACTTGAACTGGAATCGGAATCTTGATGGTGTAAGGTACGGGCACCTTAATTGGTATGGGTATACCTATTGCCTGGTGTACAGGGTGATGTACAGGGATGTTTAAAGTTTTTTGAACTGGCACAGCTTTAGTGGTTTCGTGTACGTATGGTTCCCCATGAGTTTTTAATGATAAACTACTTGCATCGTAACCACCTTCATATTCTCCTGCATATCCATTGTTCCCGCCTCCTTCGTAGTTGGTTTCATAATGCCTTCCTATAACGTTATGATTAATTATACCACCGACTCCTCCTAATTCAAAATGATGACCATCTATGCTTCCTTCTCCAAGAGGTAGCCCTGCTTGGCTGAGTCCGCCGTTATAATATTCGCCAATTGCATGCCTCACAAAATTATGACCGCCGACGCTGCCATCTCCAAAGCTGTGGATTGGGTTGTTTTCTTCCATAACATTGAATATTCCGCTGCCGATATTATACCCTCCTCCTGAACCATATTGGCCTAGATCTGGGCTGTAGCTTAAACCATCCGATTTCCCATAGAAGGAAGCACTGTAATCTCCATCTGATCCACTAAAATAATAAAAAGATCAGCATTACTAATATTGCTTATTCTCAATGTTGGACTAAATTTTCGTCTTCAGGATGATTTATAGTATTCTTATCTTGCAAAATTAAAATGAATAATTTACAACCTTGATCCAAGGACGATACCGCGTGTTGTTCTAATACTTGGTTCTTGTTTCATTTCATCTGCCAGAGCCAGACAGGTTAAAGAAATGAAGAAGATCTGAAATAAAAAAATTAAATCATTATTCATATCTTTAGTTTATATTACTTATTCTTAGTTTTTATTTATAATATATATTTATTTCAGTGCTAACAAAATAATTATAAAATAAGTTTAGACTAAAGCTGGAATTTCACCAAATTGTTACCTGTTATACATTACATTAATTTCAGCAAAATATTCGTAATATTTTTGTTATTATAATATATTGGTTCCTAATCTTGCATAAACTACTAGTGAAATATTATTAACATTTTTAGGATTTAAAATTTTAGTACATACATACCATATTACAACCTAATCTATCTCCGTGTTGAACCATCTTTAGAGGAAAAATAACAAAGCTTCTCTGGATTATACAATTGTAAACTAATCAAAGCTAAGATAAAATATATAAAAGATACTACACAAATAACTATCAAATAAATAGTAAATATTCTTTTTTCATTTCTCTATCATTTTCCTTTTCTCCAATAACTCTTTTTAGTTATACCGTTTTTTCCCGAACCAGGAGTTAACGCGGGAGATTTAAGTTAATGTTAAAATCTCTAGCACCCAAATTTAAACTGGTAACCAGCTTTAGAAAATGGACAAAATATAAGTTTTACTAACTCAAAATGAGTAAATTATAAATCATTTAGGTAATGAAATTCTCTATAAAATAAAAATAAAAAAATCTTCAAATCGAACTAGAAAAAAAACGGTGTATTCGACTTTGTACCCATGATTTAAAAATAAATTTGGCCGATTCCCATGAAAACAACTTCACTACTTATTTGTTTTGTATCCATAAGGCGTCAACTAATAAATTACTCTGCATTTTAAAATTTTTACAAGCCTTCTTTGAAAGCTTTGTTTTGTTGTGCAAATTACTTTTAGTAGATATTTATTTTAGCCACATCATAAACATTGACTCTATATGGATGTTGATATAGATTAAAAATACTGTCGACCATGTAACCACGACCTGCACTGCATTTCGAATGATGATGATTTCGAACTGAATACAATGATGAGAACCGCGGGAATTTTCATCCTTACTGAGGTGAATTTTTTCTGCTGCTGAGAAAGGAGAACTTCCCGCGGTTCTAGAAATTCATTTATAACGAATTTAGAAATATGAAAATTTAGAAATTCAGAAATATGAATTTAAAACGAAAATTATTTTTAATGGAAGGGGACATTGGGTCCAACATATTTTAACCTTGAAGTCCGGAGAAGAGAACTAGCGCTCAGAAGATTGCCCGAGGAATGCATTCTCCTTGACCAGAGATCACCAAAGTTCTAAGTAATAGAAACGTCTATTACTATTTTACAAGCAGTAGTTTGTTGTTATGCAGTCATGCAAACACCTGTGTAGCCTTATTAGCGTGGGACGGATGAAAAAAAAATAAAGGATTTAAAATTCTTTGCCCATTCAGATACGCGAATATTTCCATTTTGGTGGGAATTTAGTTGTTCTCAGCATACAATTTTATATCGCCCTGAGGAACACTAGTGCTTTACTGGACATTTGCTGAAGCGCCTAAGCAATTATTAATTCATACAGAGAACGGGCTAACTCATACGCACAGCACCGGAAACCTCATAACAATTTATTGTTTATTTATTAAATTACACCCTATCTTGACTAACGGCAATAAGGGTTTTGGCGAGGGTAGCATAATAAATGAAACATATATTAAGCTACCAGTGCAATTTAGATATTTACAATGGTCCCACTGTAGTTCTTGAAGTTCGTACCTTCAGAAGTTCTGTACAAAGTGAATTGTCCTTTCTGCAGCCTCTCGCCTTCGCCTACGAGCACCAAGGTTGAAGTGTTCCAGTCCCACTATAATATTCCACTCATACACGAACTCTTCGAAATTCGGTTAGTTCTCTTCTTTCATGAGGAGGTATATGTCACTTTCAGTGATAATGTATATTCCTGTTTTTCTCTTTAGAGTTTTTCGTAGCCACTCAAATATAGTGCTGGTCATTCCTACGTGTTCGGCAGTTTCCGGAACGCTGCAACTGAAACATAGGGGATCGACGTCTTTGCCAAAACTTTGCAGCCTCTATGTCTTCTTATCTTGAGTGCACAATCAGCAATAACTTCCTTAACGTTTCTTCTTATGAGGTCGTCGACCATCGTCGATTCTATTCCTCAATTCAATGATCCCGGATTATTTGTTTCTATCTATTGGGCTCATCTGAAGAATCTCCGGTACCGCTGCCGAGCCTTCTCTCTTATAGCCAAACACTGTAGCATCCTGAAAACCGAGGTTATAGATGATAAAATATTACGAGTTCGCGGGGGAGGAACTCAATGTGAGGGGGAGGAACTTTTAACTGTAGCACTAATCTCCCGCCTATCCCCTGGCCCGGGAAAATCCCGTATAACATAAAAGGCGAGAAAGGGTAGAACAAAAAAAAATATTAATTCATAACCTGGAGATCCTATTTCAGGCAAAGGTCTGATTTATTGGGCCACTTCTCAAGGAGATGAACGAAAATAGGTGTGGTGTTAATAGTAGTATTTAGGATTCTTAGCGCTAAAGTTTCATGTTCTGTGTTAGTAAAGTCACCCAATAGTTCAGCTTTTTCGATATCCAACGAAGCCCATGAACCATCTTCTTATAACAGGGGTACTGATGCCTCTCAATGTGTAGTAAATTGCTGTTATGCTTCTAATAACTTCTATCGTTGACAGGATGTTCAAGTAAGCATCATAATTTTCTCTGCTGATTTTTTGTATATATCATTAATGTTGATTATTCAGTCTCTTAAATGTTTTTATATCTGAGGAAAGTCTATTAGTCTGTCTGCCTCACCTTAAGGGCTCTTTTTGCAGTGATCCAGTCTCTTAATACTGAAGATATCTTGGTAAGCGCTCAACTCTTGATGGATCAGGAGAGATTAAGTCCAAGCAGCTTTTGGCAATTCTGTCCAGTGCCACATATAAGGTAATTTATCTTCAGTTTAATTGGATCAGGAATTGAAAGATCTGAATCCAGAAATGCTCTGTAAACAATCCAAACCATTGTACTGAGCTTTGATGTTTTGGAAGATTGATTGCCTCATCTAGGGTTACTAAATATATATGAGAATGGTCAGAGCACATATTTTTAGTGTAAGGGTTCGTAGTCTTTTAGTTATAAAAAAGTCTGGCTAATAGGTCGGTGTTGAAACACAAATAACAACAACTGAAGGTGATATAGTATCAAATGAAAGATCATGGATAGCAGCCCTCAGATTTTTCCCTTTTAAAAGTCCCGAGATTTTAAAGGAGAAAATTTTTCCCCACACCCGAGTCTTAAAATACCTGCAAAATATGAAAAGTGTTAATACGTACCTCGGAGAAAAATATACCGAAGCTATTATTATTATGTGATATTTTTATGTTGTGGTAAGCCTGTGGCTTGAGTACCAGGTGTAGTAATTAAGTACACGTGGTTATGTGATAGTGGTTGGTATCTATATATTTATTAGCCGTACCATCATGAGCTGTTTTGTCCTGATGGTTTGTTATGTGTTTATTAATATGAAATGGTAACCAAGAATATGAAATTTATATCGTGGTTTAAAGAGTGTTTTGTTTTCATTGAGATGTCTATACGTTTTTCGTATAAATATAAGGTCAATTCTATCATATGTTCCATTTGTCCGTTTCCATTTCACATAAGGGCAAGAATTTTATAATTAGCTGATTATTGGCCATTTAGACCACACATGCCTTGAGTCACCTGCTAAGTTTTTGGTGTAGGCTAAAAAGAAACAAGCTGTGAGTTCTCAAACCATTTACAGTTGAAACAGCTGTGGTGAGATAAAATGATAGACTATTAATTTTTAAAAATGTGTGCTGACCCTTGATAAATTTTATGAAGAAGTATACATACTGATATGTAAAGGCATGAGATTATAGATAGTTTTCTTTAGAAGCATGAAATCCTGAGTAAGAGATGAAAAATTGGATTGAATTTCTTCAACTAAATTAGAACTCTTGCTGGAGATTCTTGATATAGAGTTTACAAGTTTTTAATTTTTTTTCGTTTTTTTCTCCCGAAATGTTTACTATTTTAATTGCTAAATATTTGCGATAACCTCATTGATTTTTTTCATAACATTGACCTTAAAAATGAAATAAACCATACTTCAGTTTTTAAACCATTTATTTATTTGTTTATGTTTTAGGCACCATTGCACCGTTCGATTTGCTGAAACTAAATGAAATGATTTCCCGAAAGTGTTTGAAAATCTTGGAGCTATTAACACAGCACAATATCCATTAAAACTACTGATTAAGTTCACTTTATCCATACCTTCAGCCTTAATGGTGACAGCTCATTGCGTGAACACTGAAGGAGATTATAGGTGAACTTTATTTTAAGAGCAAAAATGTAATACTCGAGATAAATTTCTCGAAAACCGAATTGCTCATCAACGAAAGTCTGGAAGAGCTATGTTTTACCAGACCTATGTCTAGCCCATAATACTTGTGTCTATATAAAGAAACAAAATAGAGTGGGTAGAAATTGCTAAATAGATTGGTCAACTAATAACGTGCATCAGAAGGACAGAGAAGGAAAAAGGCGAACATCAATCCCATGGAAAAAATATCAGTTCTTAAATTTTTTTATGAAAGGAAATTTCCCAGTACGCTTAAAGGGCAAAGTTCTCGATGCAAGAGTCCAAATAATAAATTTAAAAACATAACTTTTCTGTAATTTGCATTTTTGGTTTTGTTTTTCACTATATTTATACTCTATTTGTAATATTTTATAACCAAAGAAACTATCATTTTATATTATTACTTATGAATAAAGACTTCATTTTATTATTAATTTGCTTGCATTAATTAAATAAATTGCCATCCAATTTAAATTGCTATATTATTAGAGGTATTACCCTTTTTATATATATATATATTATAAAATATATATATAAAAAGTTTGTAAGTAACGATAGAGAAGGAGCTACTTAAGATAAGATTATGCAACAAAAAATTACCTTGTTCATGCTGTCGGTGTGGGATGAACTGATGCAGCCTCTCACCCTAGCGAAGATTATATAGTGAGCGACCACTCCCTTCATCCCCTTCCACAAGTGTCCATTTCCGGTGCTCATTTCCGTAATTTTTTTAGACACTTAACAAAGTTTTATAGCTAAAGTATGGTGCATTTATTTTTAACAATTGACAAATAAGATGTCTTGACTTATGATGATAATTCTAACATTTTTATTAGAAATTTTACAAAAAAAAAAAAAATACTGCAAAAGGTTGGTTGTTGATAAAATATATTCCTAACCCGTCTATCTACCATCTTTACAGCTTAATACAAATTACAGGTAATTTAAAGGAAGACATGTTAAATATTTAAGGATTTAAGCCCTGTGAAGTGGCACAATGATATTAAAGACCACTTAATTATACAATGATAAACCGAGTTAATCAAAATCTATGGAGCCGTTTTTGAGAAAATTGTAAAAATGTATATTACCGTTGATATAAAGTGCCACTTCCGGTTAGTCGATTTTAACGTAAAAGTTGTTATCACATCCAAGGCATACACCTATATTAAATACGTAATATCAGTTTCGTACGACTTTTCTTTTTTGAGCCAGACTTATCACACACACATACAATATTTCCTTGCTACCTTCCTATACCAAGCCATTAGAATACGGCGACCTGCCTATATTCTACAGATCCTACAATTCAAACGCTCCTTTCAATCCGTCCCACCAGATCCCGTGCGTCCGACCTCTATCCTCCTCCTCACCGAACAGCTGCGTTTGATAAATCCTTTTTAATACAAATTGTCTCCCTCTGGAACTCTATACCTTCAGATATTCGACAAGCAAAATCAATATCCTCTTTCAAATCTCTCCTCTTCATACACCTACTCCATTTCCAATCCGATTGATCACGATATGGACTTAAAAACCTAAGCTATAAAAACCTCTAAGTACACCCAGATACACTGATTATTTTGTAATTCATCTATATTTTTTACTTAATTACTTTCACTGTATATTTTATATTTACACGTATTTATATCTTTTTATTATTTATAACTTTATTGTAGTCCAAATCAACCTGCCAATATTAAATTTGATTTTATAGACACACCAAAATATTAATACATATTCTGTATTTGTAACTTGTTTTAAAGGGACACTAGTCCCAGAATAATAATACTACTTTCATTTATACATACACACACACGCGCGCACACACACACACACACACATACACACACACGCACGCACAGAGACCATTTTGCGAAACCTGGTTATTTACGCTCAGGAGACCTCAAAACATGTATTTCCGTTGAAAACTCTGATTCGAAAATTTTCATGATATTACATATATAGTTAAGTTAAAGTAAAAATAATATGTAAAGACTTGACTAATTCTATTTATTTATTTTTAAATTTTTTTTTTTTTTTTTTTTTTTTTGCACTACATATATTTATCCGCACCTGTCAATTACAACTATTGACAATCAGCAAATGTGCTGGCACAGTCATGAGAAAATAAAAAAAAAATAAATAAATAAAAAATAAATAAAATAAAAAGGCTTGATAGACATGAGGAAAAGCAATACCCAGCGGCATCCCTTCCCTGGCTTTTACTTACATACAATTACGTAAGTAGGTCCCTCATCCAGACCCTTTTCAGTCGTCTTTTGGAGTTCTCCGGCATAATAGTCGTGGCCATTTCTTTAATTAGCTGGTTGGAGTGTCCATGTAATTTATTATGAAATCGTTTGTAGTAAGTTCGTATGTGTTCATTGATCGTTGGCATGTGTAAGTCAGTGTGTAAAGTGTTATTATTCACGTACCAGGGTGCTTGGGTAATTAGTCGTAGTATTTTAGACTGAAAAGTTTGAAGTCGTTTTATGTGTGTTGGTTTTGCAATTCCATATATTTGTAGTCCATAAGTCCAGAGAGGTTTTAATAGGTATGTATAAATATTTAATTTCTGTCTTGCTTTTAATTTCGAATGCCGTCTTAATAATGAATGCAATAGTTTTAATCTGTGATTTAATGATGCACGTTTTTTCTTTATATGTGGACCCCATGTCATTCTTCTGTCAAACGTCAGGCCTAGGTATTGTACTCTATCTGTTTGTGGAATCGGTATGTTGTCTAAGTATACAGAAGGGCATGTTTCTAGTCTTAGAGTAAATGTGATGTGATGTGACTTTTGATAATTTATTTGAGTTTTCCATAGTTTACACCAATCGCTTATTTTTTGTAAGTGATGTTGTAGGTTAAGTGATGCCTGTGTAGGATTGTCGTGTCTATTAATGATAGCAGTGTCGTCTGCGTAGGTTGCTGTAAGTGTGTGAATACTTTGAGGAATGTCGTGTGTGTATGTGATGTACAGTAGTGGGGCTAAGATTGACCCCTGAGGTACGCCAGCTAAAATAGGTCGAATTGAGGATAGACCTGAACCGTGTCGAACGGAGAAATATCTTTCTGAGAGAAAGGAGTGAAGAATTAAGTAGTAGGTGGGTGGGAGTATGGTCTTAAGTTTGAAGAGAAGCCCCTGATGCCATACTTTGTCAAAAGCTTGGGCGACATCCAGAAATACTCCGGTTGCATATAGTTTTCGCTCTAGTGCTGTCGATATGTAGTCAGTTACCCTGTGTAATTGTTGTGTTGTTGAATGTAATTTTCGAAACCCGAATTGATTGTCAGGAATAATCTGTTTGTCTGTTAGTATATGTAATAGTCGTGAGTATAATAGTTTTTCAAATAATTTAGAACACACTGGAAGCAAACTAATCGGTCTATATGAAGAAGGATTGTTAGTTTCTTTGTCTGGCTTTTTAATCATGGTTATATGAGAGTATTTCCACTGTATTGGAAATTTTGTGGTCCTAAGAATGCAATTGAAGATTGTGGTGAGAAACACTAGAGCTTTCCTTGGCATTTGCTGGAGCGCCTCAGCATTTATCAAGTCATGACCAGGGTTTTTCTTTTCGGTAATTGTCTAATTTCTTGTGCAACTTGTGATGGTGTGAAAGGAGGTGGTGGTAGTGTGAGCTGTAGTGGTATGTCTAAGTTATTTTGTACAAAAATATCATGTTCTGTATTAACGAAGTCCGTATGTGATTTAAAAACAGAGGAAAGATGAGTAGCAAAGAGTTCAGATCTTTCTTCGTCCGAAACAGCCCAAGAACCATCCTCTCTTCGTAGGGGTGCTGACACCTCACGATGCTTTAAAAGATTCCTTGTGTGTCTCCATAAACTTCCATCGTCCGTCGAAAGGTTGTTAATAAAATTGTCGTAGTTTGTGCTTTTGAATTTTTGAATATGTCTTTTAAGTTCGTTGTTCAATCTGTTAAAAGTTTGTCTGTCTGAAGGAAGTCTATTAGTCTGCCACACTTTACGAGCTCTTCTCTTTGCCCTGATTAAGTCCCTTATGTACATTGGATAATGGGGCAAGTTCACTGCTCTTTGTGACCTAGATGTTGATGAGGACCATGCTGCATCTTGTATACTTTTTGTAAAAGTTTCAACGGCTTCTTCTAGTTCCCCTTGATTTTTAATTGAACCTGGAACAGAAATATTGTTGTTCAAATGGTCTCTATATGCGTCCCAGTCCATGCAAC